ACATTATAGTCAGAATAATATGCCAAGCTGGTACTTGACATAATTTGTGATTGCCTCAGGAAAACTTGGCGTTTTGGGTAATTTTCAGCTAGAAAATGCTTGGCGTCCGTGTAACAGACGTGGTGGACTGGTATTGAGTCGGTTTAGGATTACATCTTGGCTACAACATGTTTGGATTATATCCTGTGATGTAAGTAAGCTATTTCTAGATATTATCATCTTACGTCAGGTAGTAGATATTTGTAGATATATAAGCTGAGAGAAAGAGGAAGGAAGACAGACAGACAGACAATTACATCTTTTTATTTCACTTCAATTAAAAGCTCCTGTGCGAGCTATTCTTCCAGATACCTCTAGTCTCAATCATTACAGCTTCCGAACCAGCTCAAAAGGTTCGACAATAGCAAAGGCAGCACTTGCAGCAAAGATTAGGGAAGGGAATCTACCGAGACCTAGGATCATCTAGGAAGAAGCTCACGAAGTCCTGACATTTGCAGCTCTCAGACGCCAAGTCACAATCCGCGTACAGGAACTGGCGGAAGATTGGTGGCATAAGAACAGAACGGACAGGTATGAAGATCTGGACCTACTGATGCGAAGAAAAAGCTCTCCGGAGCTAGCTCTACCTCGATGGACATATCACCGCCTCATCGCAGCAAGGACTGGGCATGGTGACTTCGCCGGCTATCACAGACGGTTCCAACACCAGAATGTAGAAATGCTCTGCAAATGCGGCCGAGAAAAACGGCCGTGGCATTTTGCAGAATGTCGCCTGGCTATCCAGACATGGCGGACGGAAACGAAGGAAGCCCGACCGACTTTAAGGGTCTTGATAGGGCAAGAAGGATGGCAGATATTCTGGCGCTTTTTAACTGTAACAAAATGTTACAACAAGAATGAATCATAAACAGGGGGTCAAAAGATCAACAGAAATGCTTCTTGGGACCTGTTGGTGTGGTACGAGAATTAAGGTGTAGTGCAGGGCATTAGCACCTTAGAAATGGTGATTTAATTGTTTGTTTGTTTATTTGTTCTGCGTTCCTAGTTTCTATAAAACAAAAATATAGGTAGCGTAGAGTCCTATAGATCTAGACTACCCGTGCCATGCCCTCTGGGTGCTGGGGCAGTACCCGGTAACGATAATAATTGTTGAGAAATAAGTCTAATGCATTGCAATTCCAGGGTCCTCATGACCCTTGTTATGGGTCTGAGTTGTCATCATTAGCCAGGAGTTATTTTTATTTATCTTTATTTAACGTCTGGCGGATCACGCTAGCCAGGAGTTAGGAGAACCGGAGAGCAAGATACCCTGTACAATTAGCTTATTTATCACGTGGTTATTGGGTCGTTTTGTTAGCGTGCACGGACCCGCACTCAAGATGTAAATCTCGAGTGTTGGATCCAGTTTCATGGATAATTATTGATAGATTTCCAACGAGTTGATTTCATAGACAAGTCTACCTTCCATGTTTTATATTAGAACTCCTTAAAGTGATCATTACACAATATAAGGACTAAGGTTTTAACAATAATAATCATATCATATCATAACTGGTACGTGAGGAGCTCACGTGCTGTGCGCGGGCACGACGTTAAATATTATACATAATTAAATATAATCTCCTATGACGCTTTCATGAGCAGCTCTCTTCTCAATTTTCTACTTGATTATATACTTAATGCTGGTCTTTGGCCTTCAAAGACTCTCTTCACGAGCAAGCGAAACGAAGGCTGTACGCAGGTGTATGTATTGTAATAACGAGGTTATGAGAAGTCTAAGAATTGTCACAATGGGTGTAACAGTCAACTTGGGTGGATGTAGGATAGCACTTTAAGTCTAACGTGAAGAAGACAGATATATATCGTAGATCTGCTATATTGATGACTATTGAATATAAGAGAGGAAAAGGTTGATCATATACAGAGGTCTAGCAGTGAGTATTTATACACAAAGACAATATACACAATATACCATCAATAGCAATAACTGCCAACCATTCAGCCATTCAACAACTATGTCATTAGATATACCTGCGTCATATTATCATATAATCATGTATGGTTGAGATATTGGTGTTGTCATTGCTGTGTGCCGATGACGTATCATTGACGCAGGGTCGCTTGTCTTGTTGGTTCACTTGCCCAATACTAGCCATTCCAAGTTGTGTGATCTATAAGTGGGTCTGATCACAACAGTATGGCAGCTGGGAAATTTAAAAAAAGCACTGAGTGCGAGGCTTCACTAATTTTGATATCAAAACCAAGTTCGAAAATATAGCTACCTTTGGGGAACGTTTCCAAAAATCTGTTAGCCAGCCACCTTAAATATATGTATATCAAAGAAAATGGCTCTTAGATTCCCATTCCCCCTTTTGAATTTTCTATTATTCGCGCTTCGAATTAAATCGGAGGTAGTGTGGAAATTTCACAGGAGCCTTCGCATATATTGTGAACTATACAGTGGTATAGCCCATCTCTTTTGTACAGTCTTGGGCAGTGGAAAATGCAAAAAATTGATCAACAAAATAAGCCCCTCTTACTAGTGCTGAACCAAAACTTAGGTCCCCAGACTCTGTTCTACAAGCAAAAAGATCGCGGGGGAAATCACTGACAGGTATCCGGTATGTACTCCATTACTAACTCTCCTCATTCAGAAAACGATATAAGATCAAGATTTATTTCCGCTGGTTTGTTTATTCATATTATTTCTAGCCATATGCCGTATACTATATCAGATTGTTACCCCGATTAATCCCACTTCTATAGACACTTACTTGCTTCCGTGGTCATCGGAAGTGACAGTTTCGAGACCTGCCGAGTTAAGCCCTGTAAAATATCTCTTTATTACGAACCCTCCTCAAGTGCATTAGAGATCGACTGTTGAGATTATAGAGTACAGAGATATTTCAGGTGATGGTTAATGGCAGTTATTGATGAAGGGTATGGTTGTTGAGTTTGTTATCATTTCTGTTTTGGGATACACTTTGTCGATCCTACTAGGCTCGATGATTAGTAGTCCCGACCGACTGGTTTTTGGCGAATAGAGATTGCGTATACCCTGTGCTAGCGTTGTTTACTGCTGTTAACAGGAGGTCCCGGCCGGCGAAGACGGATTCTTCATCTTCCAGTGGTGCCGGTGTAATAGCTCAGTATGCTCTGCATATCTGGGATAGCCAAGAATCGTATCCGAATCGAAGTCGAAAGCAACCTCAAACACAGCTCCATTTGACGACTTCTCAATCATGCAGCACTCACCGTCATCTTCTGATTCCTCAACCTCTTTCTAACCACACATCATCTCGCCTCGACGACCAATAAAGAATTTGCTCCAATTGCATACAGGAGCTTGCCCCATTTATCTCCAGCCATTTTACTATATATTTACGACGCTACGTATACCCGAAAGGAGGAAATTAAGTCGAAAAATACAAAGCCTGCGTCTTGGCTTATGGGAGACTGTTGCTCTAATGGGACAAACAACTTGAGGGAGAACAGGCGGCTGAGATGTGGAGCGAGAGGGGGAGCAGGTCTATGAAGACCATGCTGGGACCGGTGTCTTAGAGGGGTTTTCAACTTTGGAATGTTTGTGGGCGCCAAAACCAAGATTTCAGCTAGTTAGCCAGGAGGACTTCTTTTGTCGATGAGTCAACGACACTCTCCAGTGCCCTGGACGGCACAAAAGAAGTCGGGCTAAGCTACTACAAAGCAATCACGCTCTGTCAAAACTTTTCTGACCTTTCAGCACGACATTCGGGAAGGAGTTGGAAGGAGGCTAGAAAGGCAGAGAGTGAATTCTCCGAGGTACCCACAAGTCTGCAGCGCCTAGCTGGCCGGCCTCTTCGAACGCTTCGGAAGGGTCACTATGTCTTCGGATCTAGTCCTAATGTCGGTATTAGGAGAGCCCCGCACCCAGTGGTTTTTGTGATTTTTCCCGGCTGCCATACACCCGCAAATGGCTATCGTTTTGTTGGCTGGAGAGGGGAGATAATGAAGGGCAAAGGGCTCCTCAAAGTGTATGATCGAATGAGGACTTGTGAGGGGTGGTACTGTTTGAGGGGAGCTGTGTGGGAGGCATAGTGTCAAAGCTAGTTAGGCTGCATACATTTAATGAATTAAAAATATATATATATATATATATATATATGGGAGGCAAAGGTGGGGATATACTACTGAAATAGGTATCCTTGGCCTGTAGGCAGAGAGGACCTGCATGTCCTACATAGTCATAGACTCAGAAAAGACAATAAAATGAATCAACTAACACATGTCTATGAAAGGTCTGTGCAAAGCTAACACCACATGATATCTTAGTATCCACAACAAGTCTGCTGCGATGGCTGGAGTGGCAGTACGCAGATGTTGCGATGCGTCATTTTGCTACGCCAACAATGATGCAGTGATAATGTCGGTCATGGCCTCAGATGGTTGGCGAATAACGCGTCGTGATCGACTGTTGATTGACTCCAGCTCATATTCAGCTTGGATTCTGGCAGGCGCGTTTATAGAGCTAGATAAATCTTCAATAGAATTTGCTTTTTGGTTCTTTGAAACAAAGGGCTTCTACTTGTTAGTCGGCAACTCGGTCGCAGGTATCGAGACAGGAAGACAGTCGACCTCTGATTCTGAGTTCATAAACTAATCTTCTGAGTCTATCAATATTGATTTAGCTGGAGAATGTTATCTCTCGGCGATGACCGCCCTGATGGCCTCCTCATTTATAGTTGGAAGTGATGGCTTGAGCTTCACGCGCTTGGCGACACGCGTGCTCACGTTCGCGGGAATTTAACACCAAACAGCTTTTTGTGCCTGCCAGGAGGCATACTGTTTTGTTGTCCTGAATATTTTGATGATGGGTAGTAATGATTGCTTCGCAATCTGCACAGCCCTTTTGGTAGTATTTTCCTTACTGGTAATTCGTCACGTGTAAATTATGTTCGTGCTTCAAGCTATTTCTATTAATCATTACGGGCCACGCAGTCACATGAAACATTTTCATCAGAATGAATCGACTTAATCTCAGAAGGATAATCTACAAAACAATATGTAGCTACAGTACCAAGCCTACATCACCGCCTGCTGTCCTCAGTAAAATTAGGTAAGTGTTGAATTACCTGCTTAAGGAGTTGGCGCCAGTTGACCTATGCTCAGGCAAGATTTGGTCAGTGCTATGAAAAATAAAGACTCAAATAGATCAACAGTCTTAAAAGGCCTTCTCACCCAAGTCTTAAACGCATCCAAAACAGAAAGGCCCGTTCACACCGAGCTTCAGATGTTGGGGCTCCTAAATCGCACGATAAAGGAGAGCCAAAAAGCCACTCAGGAATTTAAAGCAGCTGGACGAGACGAACTAGTCGAAAAAGAAGAGGCCCAGATCAATGTATTGGAAGAATACGCTGGCTTAATAAAAGTTAAAGATGAGAAAGAAATTGAAACCTGGGTTCAAGGAGTAATAGCCAGAATGACACAAGAGGGTACCAAATTAACAGTAGGAGAAGTACTGAAGACATTATTTAGTTCTGAGGCTTTGGAAGAGAAACCAGCCGAGAAAGGAAAGGTTGTAAAAAAAGTGAATCAAATTCTCAACGCAAGCTCAAAGCAGTAGTTTTCCTGGAAGCCACGCGTCTATTTCATGCAAGAAAGCAAAAAATTAGACTGAACCTTTAAGGGAACAGTATAATTTTTAGCACGAAGATAAAGCTAGATACATAACTATCTATAACCTTAAAGATACCGCAGAGAGCACTCAATTTTTGACGTTCATCAAAAGCTTCGCTGGTGATTAATCTTGTTGCACATTTACAAAATACACAATACAGCACTATAATCAGTGCATACTATGACGATTAGTGAGTCGACAAAGTGCCTACAGCTTGTGCAATTCAGTATAAGTGTACCTATAATGTTAGCGCTTAGATTCGTTGACATTCGCGGTCGGCCAATATCAGTCCGCCCAGAATTGATAAGAACCAACTCAAATTTTGACATGGTAGACTCTACTAGACATAAGCCACTAATCTTTCGATCAGGGGGGCCATGTATGTAAAATTACTATTGTTAGGAAGAGTGGTCTAACCTAGAGTTTATGTTGGAAATGTTAAAGATTTCATCTATCCGTAACTCTGAGCTTGATGATGGCCAGCAGGACGAAGAATATCATGACCTGTCATTTAAGATAAAAGAGGAAAAAGACATTAATTAGAAAATAAGACCAATATAGAAAGGGGTAATTAGCCCAGAGTAGGTATAGGCATTGTGAATGTAGTTGGAAGCATCATCATATTAAAGGGAAGTCAAGTGTGCGATAGATATATACACGTGTCCTATTCCTGTCCACAATTACCAAACCCCTCACTGCCATAAACACCATCAATTTCTGCTATCCATCGCAATCGTGAGTATCAATATGACTTACTATAACACAGCATATTTGTACGATTCGATATCAAGGGAGAAATGTTAACGGGTGATACGGAAAAAGACCAAGGCTGTAAACCCAACGGCATCACGAACTGAAACGCAGGGATCTCAGCTAGAAGCAACAGAGCCCTTGTTGAAATTGGTGCTACTTGGCAATGAAAAGTCGCATTGATACGGAACGTAATCCCAAAATCTGGAACGCAGCAAAAATCTTTACAGATGAAAAGACAGGAATGACAGGAATGAGCCAAAGAGGAATACCTTCCATTATCCATAAACACCTGAGCAGGGCCCAGAGCAGCATAGCTATGCAGATAAGAAGCGAACACATTGGGTTCAATTCCTATCTGCACAGAAGAAAAGTGCCAGGAGTAGATAATCCATGATGCCAATGTGGATATCCGTCCTAGAATGTGAAGCATATGATTATGGCCTGCACTAGCTGAGCCAAAGGTGGAGGAGAAATACTGAGAAAGGCAGAGAACCGGTCATTTGAGGCCATGATGAACAATCCCAAAGATATTGCAAGAGAACTAGATGGATCCAGCAGGAAGGAAGGTTAGAGCAGTTTCGACTAACGCTTGAAGTCGAGGCCACGATGAGGGAGAGAGAGGAGAGAAGGGGAAAGAAGATCTCCTGCCAGTTGCAATGAAGTGGACGGTATCCGCACTGGACATAACAGTGTTAGTGCACTTCGTGAAGATAACACAACTTTTAAGTGAATATAAATTGAAAAGTTGAGGGGTTTTTGCCGTAGAGGTTTCCTCCTATATAAATATTAGAGTTCGCTGACACCTGCATTCGCCTTAAGGCGCCAAATCAGGCTAAATGAAATCAAATTCAAATATTCAGATTTTACTTGGCAGACCGGCCAAGGCGATGTACCACCGCACCATCCAACCATGGTAGTGTTTGTGGTGTCGCCTGCACTCTCGCAGCCGAAGTCTTGGCACGCATAACGTTCAATTCGTAAAAACTCCTTGTCAAATTACGAAATTTCACGTCCGTCGAGACTGTATCTAACGTCTGAATCATCTTGTGAGCTTGTCCTGAATCCTCTCACGCCAATCCCACAGATCGGTCCCCCATAATTGTGCGTCACGCTTTGCTTCCTCCGTCGGGTGTAAATATCGTCATGGGTATCACGGGTTCATTACACAATGCATGGGTGATCTTGTAGGTACAATATTTTAATTGTAATTCTCTGAAGAGAGGATTCCTGTACTTGATGACTATCTATATGTACAGTCTGAAATATCCCTCCTCAATAAGGTTCTCTCTATGACTTAACTCAGAATCTCCGATAATCGCCTAGAAGATCCTTGATACTCCTGTAACCCTCATGAGCTCTCAGTATGTATCAATAAAGTTTAATGTGAATCATCAAAGTTCCCTGTCATCGAAGATCTTCCCAAGAAGCTCCATTCGTATAATTGCCTGCGCTAGACAGCGTAGGCTACAGGAATCCTTAGGCTTGACAGCCGACACAATGGGCGTGTATTTGGCGACCAGCTGAGGCCAGAGAAATTCGACAAGGTGTGGTCATTGGAGTGAGGATGTACTAAGTCGTACTTGTAGACTTGATGAGGCTTCGGTTGGAGTCGATCTCTTTGAGAATGAAAACTGATATGGTGGAGTATTTTGAATCATTGCCTCGTGGGCCAACTTCTTTGATATTGCGAAATTTGACTGAACTTGGCTCTGGGAGAATATTTCACTCCCAGATTCGTAGAGGGCACCGCGTACAGGTGTGTTTTCCTAATTTTCAGAATTCCGGATATCTCGAGGCAATTAGATCCTCAACCAATTATATGTCTGATTGTTGTAGTTATGAGCTGTGAGGTGTATAGCAATTATGTCTCTGCTGTCCGTCGGTGGAGTTACACGGATTCATGTGCAATGGTGAGTCGCGGAGATGGCGCGGTCACGCTGGGTGATGGCACGATGGACACTGAGTGCGTATCACTGTGGCCAAATGGGTGTCAGTAGGTATCAAATAAGAACTCTTACTGACAATAGTGATCTATGAAGGTGATGCTAGATGTGCATCCCAACGATTGATATATCATCTAATGGATGATGTGAAGTATGATATTATATTGGATAGATTGATTCACTAAACTCGGCAGGTGAAGAGATTGTAGAGTACATGAACAGCGTCTGTGCACCAGCCTGTATTTTCCACCCTTTCCTAATCCAGCAGCCCATCCTCCGTTCCCCTGTCTCCTAACAACTCAACCGAGCCAGCACAACACTGATACAGTGGATTCTAAAGATAGAATATTAATAACATATATATTATTTTGATTTTTGATTTGTGTTCATTATCCTGATTTGGCGCCCTATGGGCCCATGCAGGTGGCTATAAACCTATCTATATATTTACATAGGAGGAAACCTCTCGGTGAAAACCCCCCAAGCTTTCTGATTTAATTCTTATAGTTTGCAGTTTATCCTTCAGGAAGTACAGTTACACTGTGACGCCGTCGATGTGTACCAATCACGTCCCTTCTTTCGATCCCAACCTTCCACATGTTCCCTCTCGTTCCCTGAGCAGCATTTCGACTGCATTTGTCAAGCGGAATTGTTCTATCCAACCATGATTAAGAATCCATCGTGTGATTCTTGACATATCACCAGGATTGTTGGTCATTGCTTCAAAGGAGCGATTTCGGGCTTGTCTCCAGATTTCTCCTCTACCAATTGACCACTTAGGGCAGGACATGATCATGTGCTTGGGATTTTGTGATTGGTAGCCACACGGACAGCATGGATTGTAGACTCCTGGTATTTTTCTTCTATGCAAATACGAATTGAGCCCGATATGCTCGCTTCGAATTTGGATTGCTAAGCTACTTTGGGCCCTCGTCAGGTTGGTATATATTATTAAAAAATAACTAATCTAAATCAAATAGTCCTAAATTACAGCTTGATGTGGTCTGTGCGGTAGGTGCCTGGATACATGAAAGGCACCTACTTTGGATCCACACAGGTGTTCAGTCTTGCCCTCCGGTAGTCACTTTGCCTAGCACGTTAATGAACAAACCAAACTAAATCTGAAGTGTTTTGGTAGAGTTTGTCTTTATTGATTTTGATTGAATTTAACGTCGTGCCTGTCTACAGCTCGTGACTACTGAGTTTGTCTTTATTCATTTATGATATTTAACGTCGTGCCCGCACCTCGTTTTTTTGACTACCATCTACAAAATCTGGCAAACCACGAAGTTCCCCCAAGCAATCAACATGATTACTCTTCCCCCCGCCCTCCTTTTAATCACCATCCCACTCTCCCTACCTCCACACAACCAAGTGGAGGGGAGTCGTTAACGGAATTGCTGCTGTCAACTACTTCCGCCGCTGACACCAGGAATCAAGAGGTCACCCTATTGTTTCAAAATATTGCGTGCGTCCTTGACGACGCAACTAGTGGAGAGTGCCTTCCACAACACCTTCTCAAACCATTTCGCGAGTTTATCGTGGATTTAAACTCTGTGGCGCGTAGGCACTTTGAATGCCATCTCAGAGGTTCACCTCGGCCGCCAGCGCCCTACTCCGCAAGCTCAACCCAGCCCCAGACTAGACAGTCAATTTATAACCCAGATACACAGAGCACCTCTGCCGCACCGCAAGCCACCCCAGCTCATCATCAACCCAGGAGTTACGCCAAAGCCGTCACTGATGCTCCTAAGCAATAAAATCAACAGCAACAGCAACAGCAACAAACTTCCAACAAACCGGCTCAACCTCGTCAAACCCCCCCCGCGAAGATAATAGACTTCTAGTTCGTGTAAATCCAGGGCACCCTGCACTCTTCATGTCACCATACGCGGTGATGCTCCATCTGAATGAATTCTTAAAATAAAAGCTGATAAGGGAGGTCCAAACCACTAAAACCGGGTTTGCCATTTGTCCAGCATCTATCCATGCCCAGGAAGCTCTGATCAATAGAATGGATGCACTGGAAAGCCACCTATCGACCCAGGGCGACTGAAAGGTCGAAAAACCTACTAACCACGCTGCATACCTACTAACTGGTATACACCGCTCTTACACAGGATTTAATGGTATCTTATCGACTTAAAGTTGTTGTCGACAGTTTCCGGGCTCATGACTGCCCACCCAGATGCATCAACTGTCACTGTCCCCACCCTGCTGATGCACTCGAGTGTCTCTTCAGACCCAAGA